CTTAGAACTGTGGAAAGGCTTTTCATATGAGGCAGGACACTCTTCTGGCTGGTGGCCTGATGCTGAGGACTTTTAGTCCCTTCTCCAAGCCTGGGGCTCCTGGAGGAAGTTTTATTTTTTAAGAATAAACCAATGCTGTGTGTTGCCCGAACACACGTGGTCATCCTTGTATGTGTGTGTGCGTGATGCATGTGCATGTGTCTGCAAGTGCAGGTGTCTGTGTGCACATTTGGAGACCACAGAAGGTCAGTGTTTTATTCCATCTTTGCCTTATTCACTTGAGAAAGGGTCTCTCACTGGAACTTGAGTTAGGTTGGCAAAGGGCAATTCTCCCGTCTCCATTGCAGGTACAAGAGGACAAATTCTGCTTTTTACCTGGGTGCTGGCATTTGAACTCAGGCTCAGGCTTGCCCTGAAAGTACTCTTTCTTGCTGAGCCATCTCTCCAGCCTAGAAAGTTTTAATCATATGGGATTCTTGGTTTTACTGTCCCTGGTTTGGTAATGTGACAGCCACGGAATCACAGTCACATGGCAGGAAAGGGCTGAAGTAGCTGTCTAGAATGTTGAAACCCCTACCAGGGCTTCAACAGAGGGTCAAAGTGACAACATGAGGTTTCCCATACCTATGACTCACGCTGCCCTGCCTTTTTACCTTCAATCTAGTTAGAAACCTATCTTGTTTGTCTTTTATCTCTAAGTCCACCGCCCATGGGGCACCATGAGCCTCATCCAGTTACCATCTCTATTCCTACAACAGCATGTGGTCTGGACACAGTGTATGCCTGGGGCAAATCCAATTAGGTTTTGCCTACATCAAATCACACCCTTACCTCAAAAAAGAATAAGCTAGTTTATTCTGGAGCCAAGTATGAATAGCTGTGCCCCAGGAATACCGATTTGTGTCACCCCAAGACCCTACATTCCATGTTCCAACATGGTGAGAGTTTCATTCAGTTTTTATAGTAACAGAACAGAGCTATAACATCAGGGCACATTTAAAATCCTTTGGTGGGAGCATCAGATAGGCAGGTTACAGCTAGACAGGGAAATCTGTTAGAGGCCTCCAATGTTATCTGACAGCATCCTCAGCCTTAGGGCAGGTGGAAGTTCATTTCAGAAGGATTTATCTGATAATCACAGGATGTTAGGTGAGGCCCTGAGGTGAGTAAGGAATGGAATGGCTATAAAGGGACCTGATGAGCTGGAGATAATTTGGCTCCAGGCCTGAAATAGTCCAAGGCTTCCTAATCACTAAATTCTAATCAGTTTATGGCCCTTGTAGAATCCTTTAGTTTCAAGGCCACCATTGACCCCTGGTGTCCAACCCCAGGGCTGTGACTATCATGAGCGTATTTGACCCTTCTGTCATAAATATTCTTTCACTGCATATCTTTTCCACTTCTCACTCATTCCTAGCTTCAGAGGAAAGAACTCTGTAATAGACATTAGCTCCTGCTGTTACTTATTGCTTAGCACTGCCGCACTGTGCTAAGAGCTTTTCATGCTTTGAATCACCCAAACTTCCTTCAATCTAGCACAGTGCAGACTTCTGTATCTAATAATTACTTTACAAATCATTGTATGTATTCACCATGCATAGTATTTTGTTGCAGAAAGATAGTTTATTACAAATATGTAATGTACATTGAGTGTGTATATCTTCCTCACAACGCAGATTTTCACCAGATGACGTGAGTGAGCCCATAGATAATTCAGTGTCATGACCTAAATTAAAAAGAAGTGAATTTCGCCCTTCAGCTTTCCATTATGGAAATGGAGTTAACATTTCCTACTTCAATCCTACAGTTGGAATTAACAGACAATTTTAAACAATACATGTGAACACATAATACAACTATTATGTATTGAACATTTGGCCCGTGCTTTGTTTGATTTGGTTTGGCTTTCATTGTTTGACAGTGCTGACAAGGGTTTGAACTCAGGCCCTTGCACATGATAGGCAAGCACTTACCATTGAGCTGTACAGCCTGTTCTGCACCATTATTAATATACATATGATTTTTAAAATTACATAATTACTTTGAGTTGTCAAGTGAAGAAACACTAATTTTCAAAGTGATTAGGTAGCTTGCTTAAGGTAGCAGTCAGTTGATTTAAACTGAATTGCTTAAATAACAATAATAAAATGCATGTGAATGAAATTAGGGAGTCATAGAGCATGTTCAGTATGGGATGGAGAATTTTGTCTGTCACTTTTGTAGTGTGGTGTTATGCCCAGAGCTTTGTGTACACTATATACTATGTAGTATGGGTGTAGCATGAGTGTAATAACTGTATAGTATGCATGTACTATGCATGTAACATGTGTATAGCACACATTTATGTGTTTAACGTGTAGTATATGTAGCATATGGAATAGAGCATCTTGTCTCCTGTGACTTTGTGGTATGGTACCACATCCATAGTGATGCTACTTTACATATGGCAAAAGGGGCATTTTCATATGGTGTCAATGTCACAATATACTGCTGAGGGTAGGTTATAAATTGACTACATTGAATGTCATCACATGGACCCTTGAAATCAGGAGAGAAAGGCAGAAGATGAAATCAGTGATACGTAGTCATGGAGGTCAGCTGTTCCAGGCTTGAGGGTCATGCCCAGCCTGTTGGCCTGACATGACACTTTAGCTATGAGGAAATGTAGGCAGAGTGCCTACCCAACCCTGCTGAGAATTTGATCTGCAGAATTAATCAACAGTGAATGTTATTTTAACTATTTATGTAGATGAGAATTCATTATAAAAGCATGAGGAAACGAAAGCACATTATAACTAGATAGAAGTGGGTATTAATATAGTAAGCTAGTTGTCTGAAAGTAGTTTTTAACTCTAGGATGGCTTGAAGAATAGGGAGATTTTAAGGAGCTTGTTTAAAAACAAACAAACAAACAAAAAACCCCACATAGATTGTTTTGAAGAGATTTGGTGAGTTGAGAAACTCATTCTGCTCAATAATAGGAAATACTGAGAAAAGGCTCGGTGTCAGGCAAGTGTGGGCAAGAAGAAGACTGAAGGTATGGCCATGTACCTCTCGATAATCCTCAGTGTGTGATCCAGATATCACAAAATACATTTAAAGGCCACCATTGCTGCCTGGTGTCCAGTTCCAGGGCTGTGACTATCCCGAGCACATTTCACCATTCTGCTGTAAATATTCTTTCATTGTGCATCTTCTCCACTTCTCACCACACAAAAGGCTCCTGGAAGACAGTCTGTGACAGTTAGGTCACTCTCTTATCTCAGCTGGAGCCAAAATATAAATGTGACTCATCTAAGAAGGATCTGGGTAGGAGCCTTGTGCCTGGGACATAGCAGGATAGCCACCAAGGTTTTCAGTAAATTGAAACACCACTGGTGAGAAGGAAAAACATTGCCTACAATGAGAGACTGGTAGGTTTCTAAGTCCTGCTGGTGAGATGTAGGTGCACTCAGATGCCTTTGTTGGAAGAAGCTGGAGTGGTCTACTCCATAAATTTTTTCCCAATAGAAATAAGGCACAGTTTCAGAGCAAATATAACTTACATTGATATTTGCACAACTCCTAGGATTTTAACTGCTCATTTCCTCACATTTTTCCCCCATGAAGATAATAAGACTCCAATTGGTTGCACATATACCACAATTATCGAGAATGACTTGTTCTTTCCAGGGCATAAACCATCCTTGGGCTGAGTCTACCTGTGTCGTCCTTAGGATGCACAGAAGGATCTTGACTGTATGGTTTGTCATAGGATACATGTTTAGAGCACCAGGATGGCTTTCTGGAGGATTGGCAAGGATTCCTCTCCTCTTTCCTTGCAAGCAGAGAACTGTGTAGTTCAGCTGCATCTCAAAATAGCTGATGCAATTACTTTGTAAAAAGACAAGGTTTCTTTTGGCATGCAGCTCTGGAGATTCCAATCTCAGATCTTGGTACTGGGCTTTTGGCAACAGGAGACAATGAAGGTGGGTTGTCTTGTCAAGGAAGCCTCTATTTCCAACCTATACCTCACCAGCTAGGAGGCAAGGAACTGGAGGGATTTTGGTCCCACTATCCTTTTTGAGAATGAACTCTCTATGACCTTTATTCTCCCCACCTCCCAGCTCTAAAAGCTCCTCCCAGTAATGTATGGATCAAGCCTATAACAATTGGAATTCAGGGGAACATTTCTCCAAACCATAGCAGGAGCCACGCATACATCCCATATATTCCTAGTTGGCATTGCTCTTGGTGTCCTTTAAAAGTATATGAGCAGAAATAAAATGGAGAACAGTTTGAGTAGAGATTTTATTTTGCTGAATTGAGCTTTTGCATTTTATTCTTGACTATGGATATTGAATGCCTGGTATATATAGCTCTTAAACTGTGGGTTGACCAAAACTTTGTGTCAAGTTTTGCTTTTATAGAACCTAGCAGTTTGAAAGAAAAAGCATAAAAATTGTTTTTAAAAATGATTTGGGAATGATTATATGCTAATCCATATGGTTTAGACTTTAATAGTACACAGCAGTAACTCCGACCTTGCAATAAATTTAATAAATGGAACTTCACTGAGGGCTATAGGCAGTTCCAAGCAAAAGAGTCACAACAGACAAGCTGTAATGTGTTGAGCTAGGAATGAGCAGGCAGAGGAGATGAGGACAAATGAATAACCATTTGATGAATGGATGGGGAGAATGCTGGGAATTGGGCTTTCTGATGGATGAAAGCACAGACTTTGCAAGAGAAAGCTTTGTTGTATTGCATTATGTTACTTGTATGTTAGACAACAAGAGGGACATGAAGATTCTCAGACAGATGCCTGACCTATTGCCTATGACGTTAAGGGAAGTGTGGCTCTGAGGACAAACTAAATGGTAAGGCTAGGAGCGTGTTCCTCAGGAGAAGAACTCAATAATAGTAGGCTCTTAATGTGATTATATGAAATAAAGATATGGTAATTTATATAACTCCTTACTATAAATCTAAATGGGCTAACTGTGATCTTTTTGTTGTAGAGGAATTCCAGGCAGGAAATGTGGCACGATCATACTAACAGCAGAGGAGCTAAATTGCTGCAGGGTAAGTAAATATTTTTTTTTAATTTAAAAATATCTTACTGTTTTTTGAGAATTCAGTGCAATGTATTTTGATCATATTCACTCCCTTACTGATCCACATCCTCTTCTTTACACACCCAATTCTATGTCCACTTTAAAAATAAAAAACAAAAATCAAACCAAAGAAGCATCCAGTCTGATTGGTGCTGCCCTTATACTTTCAGATACGTGGCCACCCATTGGAGGATGGTGGACATACCAACAGTCACATCATTTAAAAAAAAAATAAGATAGCTATCAATTGCTCTAGCTCCTCAGCAAAGAGTTGAGGCTTTGTGCCAGTTTTTCATGTCTAAGCTGGGATTTTGTCTGGCTTGAGCTTGAGCAAGCCTTGTGCATTGCTACTACTGTGAGTTCACAGGTGAAACTAGCCTGTTGTGTCCAGAAAATAGTTTCCTTGTAGTCCTCTCCCACCTCTGGCTCTTATAATTGTTTTGTCCTATCTTCTATGGTGATCCCTGAACCTGGGGGAGGAGAGGTTATGACATACATGTTCCATTTAGGGCTGAGAACTCTATAATCTCTCATTCTCTCTACCTGATCACGTGTAGTTTCTATATTAGCCCCCATATCCTTCAGAAAGGAACTTTTCATGAGATGTGAGAGATGAAGTCATCTATGGTTCTAATAAGTTGTTAGAAGTTAAATACTGTGATTATATAGCAGAATCATAGTGGTACTGTCTCCCCCAAGGCCTATAGCTGTCTAGCCATGGGTTTTGGGCCCCAGTAATGGGTTTCTTCTTGTGGAGCAGGCCCTAAAGCCAGTCATATAGTGGTTGGTTTCTCCCATGATATTCTTACCACTATTGCACTGGTGGACATGTCTTGATAGGCTGGTCATTATTGTAGCTTTAGAGTTCACAGCTAGGTAAGGCTGATGATTATATTCATAGCACCTTCCATCACTATGAAAGCTAGCCAATAGGGATGAAGTCTCCAGGAGAGCACCAGCTTCCTTACTCCATGTATAACTCTAGTGGGTGGCATTTTCTGCAGTAGGGTGTTACTGTCAAGTTCGGGGGATAACCAAAAGCTCTAGCAATACCTTGCAATGTACGTGGGTCTATGGGACCTCACTAGATAACCACTCCAAAAGAGGCAACCCTTTTCTTTATTTTTTATATTTATTTATTTAGCTTTGGTGATGGGCTTTTTATTTGTTATCCTGTTGTGTCTAGTGTGATAATCTCATTTATCTTTTTATGCATGACTGTATATAAAAGTCTTTATATGCATGACTGTTTAGTGTCAGTTGTCTTTTCCCATGTTCCCTTCTCGACCTCAACCCCATTTAACCCTTCCTGTGCCATTTTCCCTGCTATACCTTTATACAACACATTCTGTTCTCATCCCTTGAAAGCTTCTCCTCATGGCCGCTTAGTAATTCCCTGACCTAGATGAGTATTCCAGATGAAACACGCTTATCTGAAGAATCAGTGTTAACATCCTCAGATGAGAGAAAGCACATGACATCTGTCTTCTTGGCCCTCTGTTACATCATTCAGAATGACCATTTCCAATTCCATTCATTTGCCTGCAGATAATAGTTTCATTTTCCCTAGCAGCTGAATAATATTTAATGTTGTAAGTATACTACATTCTCATTACCTATTCAATAGTTGATGGCCGTTTAGAGTGTTTCAATTTCTTGGTTATTTTAAAGAAGAAACTCCATGCCCTTTCTTTCTCTCTTTCTCTTTAAAAACAAAAACAAGCAAACAAAAACAAGAAACCCAAACACACACACACACACACACACACACACACACACACACACACTCCCAAACCCACAAAAAACACAAAATTGGAAACCAAATGAACAAGCAATGACCAAAAGGACAAAAAATGCCCCAAAGAAATAGAGACAAAAAGTCCACACAAGTGCCACTGGGTTGATTTTGTATTGACCGTCTACTGCTGCACATGGCACCTGGCCTTACATGTAGTTAGTATACCCAGCAAAGACCACATTGTCCAGTTGTGAGTCTCTGTTAGTTCCCATCTACTGCAGGAGGGGGCATCTCTGATGATGGCTGAGCAAGGCACTGAACTATTGGTATAGAAGAATATCACTAGGAGTCATATTGTTGCTGTGTTCCTTTAGCAGAAAAATAGTATTTGTTTTCCTCCTAGGGTTATGGCCCAATATGTCTCAGGTTCTTGTGTACCCTAGCAGTATCAGGGATGGGTTCTATATGAATGGGCCTTAAATCTAATCAGAGAATGGTTGGTTACTCCCACAACATTTGTGCCACTCTTGGCCCCAGCATATCTCACAGGCAGGTCACCATTGTACGTCACAGGGTTGTAGCTGGGTTGATGGTTACCTTTCTTACCTGGTAGCTTGCGGAGTACATTCCAGTATCATGAATGCCAGTCAGTAGGGGATAAAGCCTTTAGTTAGGCACCAGTTCAATTTCTCCATGTTCAAATGTCATTTTTGGTAGTAGGGCTTTATCATTAGTTTCCGGATGGCAACCAATATCCTTGGCAGTAGTCTGTAGTTTTGGGGAGTTTCCATGGGGCCCCTTTGGCAAACAACTCAATTAGACGTAATCCATTCCTAGGAGTGGAGATTTTACTTGGTGGCATAAGATGTTGAGTTTGGGCATTCTCCCTCCCATTATTTGGTGATTCCATTTACATTTCTTTCACATACATATGTATGTTAGGAACCTTCTTCACTCTCAGGTTTTATATGGCCCTTTAAATAGCCTTGACTGTTAGTTGTTTCTCCCCATATTCTCTCCCTTGTTCCTCTCTTCTATCCCCTTCTAACTCCTCCCACTCCAGTTACTTACCTGTCCATTTATAACAATATATTCTGTTTCTCCTTCCATAGGAGATCTCCTCCCTCCTAGTCCCCTAATATGCACCTAACCTCATGAATTGTAGCACACATATTGATGGCTTAGAAGCTAGCATCTACGTATGAGAGAAAACATACTGTATTTTTCTTTTTGAGCCTGTGTTACTTCCCTCAGGATGACATTTTTTGGCTCCATCCATTTACCTGCCAATTTCATAATTTCACTTTTAATTTTAATTCCATTGTATAAATGTAGCATGTTTTCATTACCCATGTATCAGTTGATGGACCTCTAGACTGTTTCTGATTTATGGCTATTATGAATAGAGCAACAGTGAACATTTGTGAACAAGTATCTAGATTTTTTTATACATTTTAGATACTAAGCCTCTATCAGACATAAAATTTGTAAATATCTTTTTCCATTTTCTAGCCTGCTGCTTTGCTTGAATGATAGTGTTCTTTGCCTATAGCAAGTTTTTTTTCAATTTCATGAAGTCCATTTATTAACTGTTAGTGTCTGAGCTATCATTGTCCTGTTCAGAAAATGTTCTGTGTAAATGAGTTCAAGGCTACGTCCCATGTTCTCTTCTATCAGATTCAGTATATCTGGACTTTGATCCATTTGGAGTTGAATTTTGTGCAGGGTGGTAGGTATGAATTTTTTGGCTTTCTTCTACATTCAGTCATCCTGTTTACACCAGCACCATTTGTTAATGATGCCCTTTTTATCCAGTGTGTATTTATGGCTTCTTTATCAAAAAATCAGGTGATTGTATGTTTGTGGATTCATGTCTGGGTCTTAGTTCAATTCCATTGATCAACATGTCTGTTTTTATGCCAACAGCATGTTGTTTTTATTGCTATATCTTTGTGGTAATCTTGAAATCTGGGTTGGTGATACCTCCAGGAATCCTCCTATCATTCAGAATTGTGTTAGCTCTTCTGGGATATGTATTTTTTTAATGTATATATTTCCATATGAATCTGAAAAGCATCCTTTCAACTTTTGTGACTAATTGTGTTGGATTTTGATGGAGATTGCATTGAAGCTGTATTTGCTTTTGCTAGGACAGCCATTTTCACAGTATTAATCCTACTGATCCTTGAGCATGGGTATCTTTTCATATTCTGATGGCTCCTTCAATATTTTAAGATCTCAAAGTTTTTGTTTGTTTGTTTGTTTTTAATATGAGTCATTTACTTGCTGGGTTAGAATTATCCCAAAATATTTTTTTTTCTTTTTGAGACAATTGTGAAAGGTACTGCTTTTTTGTTGCAAGTTTGTATCAGCTGTAGAAGTTTCCTGGTGGAATTTTAGGATCACTTATGTGTACTATCATATCATCAAATAATGATACTTTGACTTCTTCCTCTCCTGTTTGAATCTCTTTGATCTCCTCCTTCAGTTGTC